GGTGGACCCCCTGGACCGAGTGAGAGACAGCGGCAGGGCAGACGGGGAGGAGAGGGGGGTAGCCACAGGCAGCAGTGGGCCGGCAAGCCCCAGGAGTGTGAACAGCGCCCCCTGTGGTCTGGAGGACCACCGTGCAGGTGCCTCACGGTTAGGACTGGCCTTACCTCTTGGACTGACTCACTCATCACCAAACGCGTCTCCACAGCGCATGGAGTGGAAGGTAAACGGTGCAATAGCACTGAAGGGAAAAGAATAAACTGGTGGAGTAGCTGCAAAATGACCAGTCCAGCATATCAAGGGACTCATCACAGGTTCCTCTCCTACAAGGCTGGATATCATTTGATGTCTGAGAAAACCCTCTGGCCTTAATAACAACTACAAGATTGTTGTTTTTGATTATGATCGCCAGCAAAGAGATTAATTGTTTCCCTGCTGTGTTTTTATTCTTTTTGGTGGTTTCTTTTTTTCCTCTCAGCAGGTGATCAAGCAGGTTGTCAGTGTCTGTTCTCTCTCCATCCTTCTTCTGCTCTATTTTTCTTTTGCTCTCCTTCTGTTAACTCTCTTCCCAACCTCTCTTTTTTCCTTTTCCCCCGTCCCCCGTCTTCTCTGTTCTAATTGTAATAAGTCCAAATGAAAACAATAAAAATAAATAATAACAAAGGTCAAATAAAATATGTCAATCAAGTGGACCAGTATAGCAAAAGCTGTAATGGTCTACTTGATTGCTACAGTGCTGGACGGGACATTCAAAAAAAATTAAAAAAAGAAATTAGTTGTTCATCAAAATGATACAGAAGCTACTGTGGCCCAGTTTAACATGGTTCACTACTGTAAAGCACTGAAAATGATGTCAAGTGATTTACACGATTTTCAGCTAAAGACAACTGAGCTACTGGAGCTACGTAATCAATAGAAAATAAACTTTCTACATTCAGCTTAAAGACTCAAGGCCGAAGAAAAGCAAGAGATCCAACAGCAGCATGCAGCAACAGAAACATTTCAAAGAGAGCTGAAACTTTAAATGTCTGGTCTTCCGTTGACATGAGATGCTAGGTGTTCTTTTCGTGTCCAGGTAAAGATTCGCAGCGATGGGACTCGTTATGTGGCCAAGCGGCCAGTCAGAGATCGTCTGCTGAAGGCCAGAGCCATGAAGATCCGCGAGGAACGCAGCGGCATGACGACAGACGACGACGCTGCCAGTGAAATGAAACAGGTAGAGTCTGCAAACATTAATGACAACATGTCGTTGGACTAAAAGAGCTGAGATTCAAACAAAAAGTATGTCCAGTATGTGCTGTTACTTGTTTTCTGACGAGCAAATCTCGATTCATCGCCACAAACATGCTGTGACATCATTTTCAACTGTCATTAAATCCTAGTTTATATAAAACAGAAATACTTTAGCCCTTATCTTTTGCTTCTGAGCCCAATAAACATGACAAAGTCTCATTAAACCAGCTTTAAACTGGTTTCTGTCCTCTGCACAGGGTCGATACTGGAGCAAAGAGGAGAGGAAGCAGCAGCTGCTGAGAGCTCGAGAGTACAGAAGAAGAAGAGAGTTCATGATGCAGAGCCGCCTGGACTACATGAGAGGAGACAGGTATGGGGCGAAATCTACAACGACACCCCAGAAGTTCAGTCATTATTACAGATGCAAACATAAAAGGTGCCACATTTATCCTCAGAGTATGAAGTTCATCACTGTCAGAGGTCTTTTCAACTGTCGTCTGTCGGAAGAAATGATGGTGTTGAAATGACACATTTACTTTTGACTAATGTTTAAAACGTTGTGCCATGTTTACCCACCTCTGTATTCATCAGCACAGTTGGTGTGAAAATCCTCGTTAATCCGGACCAACAATCCATCAGTCAAACGGCCATCGTGGTTTTCTGTAAATACAGACACTAAAACGGTGAATTCTTTGTGGGTCAGTGAACCATTACAGACCCGAGATCCTTGAGATCACCTGTGAAATCCTGTCAGCACAGACCTTTAAAGGGTCAGAGGTCAGGAGAGAAGAGCGGAAACCTCACATACCTTCAAACTAAAATATTTATAGAGACACTGGTGCTGCAAATCAATGTTTTTAAAACACAGGTCTGACTTCATTGGTCCATCTCACGGTGCTCAACTGATGAGTGACGGCAGATTACAGGAGGACACGTAATGAACACGTTTTCAATACTGAATAATTCATATTGTACTATTACACACATACTGATATTACAATGCAGTGCAGCTTTTTGATTTTATGTGTAGCTTTAAATATTGCGTAACTTCGTTATGTGCTGAAATGTCGTATCTGTGGCTCCGACGAGTTCCTCAGGATTCCCTTCAAACAGTAACTTCATGTGTGCAGTTGTATGAAAAGAAAGAAGTTTGAGGTGTCTGCATGTTTAGTTTTTTTTACATTTTATTTTAACAGCTCCCACCTACTGGTGAGAGCCACAGGACTCAATCGTGCAGTAGACAAGTGGCTTAAAAAAGTGTTTACACAAAAACAAAATAGAGAAAAAGAAGGAAAATGACACATTTACTTCATTACGTGAAGTTCGTGAAGGCACTGATCAGTCTTTTTATTTTCAGGGATCTTTTGTCATCAACAGGGGGCGCTGAAGAGCCCCATTTATCCCAGAGCCTCCAGTTTAATGTGCAGCATAACTCACCCAGCAGCAACATCCTGCAGCTGAGCCAGAAGAAAATCACAAAGAGGAGGAATCGTCGCATTCTCGACAACTGGATCACCATCCAGGAGCTGCTGGCTCACGGCTCGAGGTCACCGGATGGAAAGAAAATTTACAACCCTCTGCTGTCTGTCACTACTGTGTGACCTCAACAAGGAGACCATGGAAACACACAGTGTGGACCTAGAAGCTCAACGCTCTTTTTTTGTGGAGTTAAAAACATGAACACACCAGAAAGAGAGAAACTTAAAGAATTATAAACAAAGGTGGATAAGAAGAGGAGAGACTTAAAACAGAAGCATTTGGCCTCAGAGGAGGAATCCTCCGAGCATGAAAAGGAAAGAACAGAGATGAGTGAATACTGAAGCTAACAATCCTCTTTACTTTCTGACGTCACTTCAAACTCATTAGAGATACACGTGAGGACGCATGAGCCTCGAAAGGAAACAGAAACGTCCTGTTCTGGCCTCGGCTGTGACAGTCTGAAAACAAGCACAGGTTTGATCTCCTGGTCCTTCAACCAGGTGCACAGTCACATCGCTGTTAATTACACATTTTTCTGTGAATAGCAAATTTGTGCTCATGCTAAGACTTTTCCATCAAGAAAAAATGACTATAAGTGTAATTTTAAGAGAAAAACAGGCCAGAAGACGTTTATGGAGGATTGAAACTGAAAACATCACAAATAAAGGAAGGAAAACATGAACGTTTTCTTTCACATTCATTATTTCTTTCTGTCCATGTTGCTACTGAACATGAAGCAGATTCTAGGTTGGACCCCCCGTCAGCCTCATGTTTGCTGTGTCTGTCCTCCACACTGGTCGCAGGTGTGAGAGCGCTCTGTGATAAACTAGCAGCCAGTTCAGGGTGGACGCTGCTTCTGACCCCGTGGACCCTCGATAGGAACAATATTCCTGCCACCAACAATTGGATGAGCGACATTTATCCCTGTATGATATATGACATGCCTACTTATCTATCCAAACGTATTGTTGTTCATTCAAAACAAATCAGTTTGGAAAGAAATAGGAGTGAAAATTCCAAAACTTTATACATAAAAAATAAATAAAGTAATTCATTTAATAACAAACTATATGAATGTAATGATTACAAAATGATAAAAAAACAAACACTAAAAACTGTAAAGATTCATGGATCTGAAAGGTTTTGGTCCTTCATGAACTCCTCACGTGTGAAGCAGCGCCAGGAAGGAAGTGACATCACTGTTTAAGGACAATACATATTTACTCAAACATTTACTGATACTGAGTAAAATATGATTACAATACTACTACTAGCTGCTGTGTGATCTGTGCTGTCATGGTTACGTTACACAACACCCGTCTTCTGATCATCATTTGTAAATCGCTTTCTCAGAAAACCTTTTAAAGTTATAACTTTTGTAAACAGTTTATTCATGTTGACGGTTGATACATGTTAAATGTTGAGTCTCATATTGTTGTTAAAATTTTATAAATTTTATAGATTGTGTTGTTTATCCTGCAGGAGCGAGCTGCAGGTCCGTCGTTGTGCTGGACGCTGTGCAGGTGTTCAACAGAGAATGCATGAAAATGATGTACTGGACTATTATTGGATGTCATTCTTAAAGTGCTGTAAAGTACATTCTTAGCAGTGAGAGGTGTGAAAGTGTTCAAATAAAATAAAAAGGCAAATGAGAAATAAAACGTGTTTCCTGCGTTCTTTGATATATTTGGACATCTGTTTGTTTTAATTTATCAGCTGACAGAAATGTATTTACTTTAGTAATGAATCTTAAAGAAGTAATGCTGCTAAGATTAAGGAAAAAACAGGTAAAAGAGTTTTGCTGACACGTTTGAATTTCTTTTAGTTTCCACCAAGAAATTAAAGCCTTTGTCACTTTGTCACTGCAGTGTGGTTGTGTAGTAAGAGTCTGCAGCTCCGCATCAGTGTGCTCAGTACTTCATACTGTCTGTGGATATATTATGAAAAATGTTGATCAGCAGGCCGAGTGATGCTCATTTTGGATATTTTGGCTCCTATCAGAGGTAATAATGCCCATTTAGGGAACAGCTCTTTGTATTTGACGTGTCCACAGTCAGATCGTCTCTCTTGTGAAACAAAAGCAGGAAGATAGAAGTCAGTGACATCATCAAGATGTGACTAAAAAGACTAGCCTAACTTTAGCTGCTTTGCCTTTATTGCTTCCTAATTAACACCATGTTCTGTGTGACTGTTAGGAGCCTCAGTTACAGTTAAATATAAATCAAACATACATCTATGAGACACCACGATGAAAGAGACACAAAACAACTCCAGTTTGTTCCACTTTTTATTCTCTGCGGTTGTTTTTGTTAAATTGTTAATGACCCTTTGGGTCTCTGTACCCAGTTGTTCTGGTCCGTTTTCCAAATATGATAATAAAGGATCACAGTCAGCTTTGTGCTTCTATCAAAGGACCTGAATGTGTGCAGGGAGTGAAGAAAATCATATTCTGTCGAACCAAGCGAACACTTTCACAGTGTGGACGTCACACGTCACATCCATCACAATAAAACCTGAAATCCACATTTTGTAGAAGCTGTAAATATTATAAATGCTGTAAAATTCATAACAAAGTAAAGGATGTAGTTTTAGAGCGTGTATAATAGACGCACACCAAATGCTGAACAAGTCAGGAGGAAATTATTGGTCAACAGTGACACCTGCTGGGTGGATGTGGAAGCACTTTTCACATGTTTGAGCTGAGGTGGGTGTTAGAGTTCCCCTCTGTGACGCCCCAAGAGACACTAATACCACATTAAATACTCTAGAAAAAGCATTGAGCTTAATATTCAGTTAAATGCAATTTCATTTTAAAGCTTTTTTACATTTTAGCATTGATATTTGATATTTTTCAATCATTTTTCATCTTACACGTTTACACCGTCGTAGACAAGAGCGTGTTAGTCTTTGAGGACAGTGCGCTCCTTCCTGCTTGTATATGAGTCACTTGCTGATTTGTTTTGTCTGACGAGTTCAGAATCAGTTTGTTTCTGTCAATGAAATTTGATTTTAAATCAACAGTTTTTATTATACAGGGTAATGAATGACAGCATGTGAAGCCTTGTCAAGGTGACTTAAGACTAAAATAATAAAATCAAATAAAAATGAACGTAATACTACTCAAAATATCAAAACATGAAAGAAAGCTTAGAATCTGGACAAAGTAGTAAAATAAAGATAAACATAGTAAACGTAAAAAAATCACAGTAAGAGAAGGAACGATTTCAGTGTGAGGTAAGAGTCGCATTTCACAGACGGTACACACACCAGTGTGTTTGTTACAGGAGACCAATCACAAACTCACTATTACTTCATAATGTGCCAACAGGTGCGCTGACGCTTACGAGGGTGTTGGATCATTTCTGTGGACCAAGTTGTATTTAGGAATATCACTTCCTCATGTGTCCCAAACACAAACTCAGGTTGACGCCCATGACCTACATGTAGCTTCTATTTATTTATTTATTTTTATAAGACGTGTGATCATACACGTGGGTATAAAACTTTAGAAAACATCCGTTTTTCACCGATATTTGTAATCACTCTTGAATCCCCTTGTGAATCGTGTGAGTGTGTAAGAGTGTCGAGTAGGTTGTGTCCTGGTCACTCCTGATTGGATCGAGGCTCTCGTAGATGGCGTCTTCACGTGTGTGAAAAACGGAGTTTTCATAAGGTTCAATCTGAAAATAGAAACAACAGTTTTAAAAGTTTGTTGGGTGAGAATGTTTCCACTGAAATGAAACTTAAACAGACTTTTGTTAGGGTTCCTGGGTCGGTGACCCAGTGTTTTGTGTTTTTGGTTATTTGATTTTGTTATTTCTTTATATTCTAGCTTTGCTTTACGGGTTTTTCTTAAGTTAAGGTCCTCTGGGTGGGGTTTGGTTAGAGTTTTAGTGTTTTGGTTTTCTGTCTGTGTTCCTTTGTTGCTGTCTTCCCTGTCTGCTGTATTTCCACGTCCAGTCAGTGTCTGTGTCTGCCCTGGTCCCACGTCTCTGTTCCCTTTGTTTTAGTGCTTGCCTGTGAGTCTGTTTATGTTTCCTGTTTTACTTTGGAAGTCCATGTCTGATGTTAATGTGTCTGGTTGTGCTTCCTTTGTCTCGTTAGGCCTGATTTGCCCCAGCTGTGTTTCCCTCCTGTTATTCATTCCCTGATTGCTCCCTCTGTGTATTTAAGCCCTGTGTTTCTCTGTGTCCATGTCGTGATCTACCGTTTATTTTGCTGTGTGTTTTGCCAGTCCACCGGTGTTAGTTTATTTTGAGTTTTTCCCAGTTATGTTATGTTTGCGTTCAGCATTAAAGCTGTTTTGGTTTAAGTTTGTCTCTGGAGTCTGCATCTGGGGTCCTATCCCTGTCCGCACACAGCCATCACCTAACAACTTTAAGTTTCCTTTAACTCCGCCCAGCTCTTCAAATAATCCTGCTTGTGTTGCCATCTAGTGGTGACAACTATGTGTGAGTTACACGGGCGTGGCATCCCTCTGAGATATGATGCGCGGGCAGCACGGTGAGCTGCCAGCTCGGCTTTTCTCTTTGTTCTGTAGGTTTCATGGTGAAACTACCCTTTGCTGTGGTTCTGTTTACTCTGCATTTCATGCAACAGATACATTCACATATGCTTAGAGCTGAGGATGTCATTTCTAATAAACCCCTCTTTGATTCTGCTTTGGGGTAATCTGAATACATTTCTGTATAGATGGAGATGCAAATAAATGAAATTCTCACACTCTCTGAGGTTCAGACAGATTTCTTTTAGGTTTGGATGCATTTTATTCCAAGTATCTAAAACAATCTGTGTTACTGCACTGAGCCTGTCAGCTGATGGTTGGAGGGATTTGCTTTCCTGACTTTCCTGCTGGGTTTAGACATTGATTAGGTTCAAGAAAAAAAATAGTGCACATGGTCAACAATGACAGTAAAAACAATAAATAAAAATAAACAGTACCTTTGTGTTTCTGTAATCAAGGGTTACTCCTGTGAAACGGAGACAAACAACAGTCTTGATTTGAATTCATAGTAAAGAAATGATAAACATGCAGTTGGAGAACACTCACCATCAACCTTCCTCTGTGTCTTATTCTTGCAGCGCAGGAACAGAACGGCTGCCAACACCAAAACGACCACAGGAACACATACAACCAGAGGCAGGAAGTGCTCTGAGCGTGTGTCAGAGACCGAGTCTGAGGAAAATGAGAAGGGATGTGACGAGCCACCAATCAGAAGAAAGATGGCATTAATGGAGAAAGAGCTATAAGACCCCGCTGTTAGAAACAGACTAGGTCCATTTTGAAATGTATTAAGTTTTATTAACTGATTGTGAATTTTGAGTTTGTCATGCAGTCACTTGCTGAACATATCTGCATTTTCTTGGGATTTTTATGCTTTTCAGCACAAAATGTTGTTTTTGAGGCATCACACAGTTTAAGCTCTGCACCTTTAAACTCACGTCTTACCTTCGCTGCCTTGAGACAGAGTGGTCGAAGGTGTGGAGCTGGGTGAGCTGGTAGTTGGAGCTGTGAACAACAGTGAAACGTCGTCTGTTAAACAGAGGTGAACTTTTCATTTTTCAAATATCCTAAAACAAGTCAATTTCTGGTAAATGTTAATAATAATCTAATAAAACTCACCAGCTTTAACAATGAGTTTAACCTCCTGTTCTGAATTCCCAAAGAACATGCTCATACCACACTTGTAACGCCCAGCGTCAGACATGGTCAGTGGCTTGATGGTCACAAACAGGACAGGAGAATGCACTGTACCTTCATATTCAATGCTATATTTGCCTTTTTGTGCTTTTTCCTCAGATGTTTCAATAAGAACATTGCCTGGATTGCAATTTTCCTTACAGAAGAACTTCCTGTTTCCAGAGAAAGAAAAGTGGCATCGCACTGTGATGCCTTGTCCTTCAGTTCCTGTTACTGATATAACCTGTGCACTGATGAGCCCACACAACTCTGCTGGGAAGAGAAGAAGCATACTCAAAACACGTAACCTGGTAGTGAAACGTGTGACGATAGCAGAAGCAACAGTGAGCAACGTTCAGCCTTTCACAGTTACTGCTGTCGGATTAGTTAATTTTATTAGTCCTAAAATACATAAAGCTTGATAACGTCTCTGAGACAAGTTTAGATTGTTTGTAGTTTGTCTTTAGTTCAGTGCAGAGTGCTGGCTGTGTGGTGAGAGAGCTGTAAAACAAGGTCAATTGTGTCATTTCCTTATTCTATAAACAGACACCTGCAAACAGCAGACGCACGTCTCGTACCGGCCAGCTCGCTTTAACAAACGTATGTAGCAAGCAAACAAAAGAATCTTTCATTATGTGCTTCTTTTCAATTTTCTGAAGGTGTGAAAGATTTCTGGAGACGGAGCGTGCACAGGCGACACCTGATAGCAGTAACTCGCATCACTACACGCACAGAGGGAGCGGTCCTCACTTTGTTTTTACTCTATTTTAAAGCTTTTGAACTTTAAAAGATAAAAACAAACTGTGAATCTTGATCTCATATGGAACAGAGACTGGACTAAAGTAAAAGAAAGAATAAAAACAAGTGTCTCACCAATCAAATGTGGCCTTGTGCCTAAAACAAGCCCCTTAAAGAATTAAAGATCTCACCATATATGATGCAGCAGAGCAGAAGAGGCTGGAAATTCATTGTTCTGGAGAAAAGTCATCAAACTGACACAGAGCACTCTGAACTGTCTTGTCACCTCGCTTGCTTTGCCGTGTTTGATCAGTCAGGAAGTTCTGATTTTGAAAGCTGATACGTCCTTCCTCTTTTCTCCCTTCTTCTGTGTAACTGTCCTTACAAGATAAATGACGCAACCAATCTCAAACTTTTGAGATAAATGTTTCTTTATCATTTTATTAATAGTTTCTCTTCCTGTATGTCTTGAACATAGATGAGGATGTGGCTTTGTATTTTTCTTTCAGTTCTCTGTCTTGACCGCTGCATCCACTATAAATGTTCAGCTCTGAATGAGACGTTCACCGAACCTTCAGTTTATGTTTCCATTTGTTTCTCCAGGAAACAAATAAGAAATCAGACTTTACACTGATTTTAAATTAAGTCACGTGTGAATATTTGCAGTAATACTGTAATACGTAAAGCTGGTTCAGGGACCCAAACTTACATCACACTGTAGGAACAATGGTGGCGTGTTTGTGCTGACAGGAAATGGTTGTTTTTTGGACAGTATGAAGATTTAATCATCTACCACACACACACACACACACACACACACACACACACACACACACACACACACACAGGCACACAGGCACACACACACACACTCGCACAAACAGACGCACATGCACGCACACACACACATGCACACAAACGCACGCATGCACATACACACACACACGCATGCACACACGCACAGGCACACACACACTCGCACAAACAGACGCACACACACACACACGCACACACAAACAGACGCACACACACACACAAACAGATGCACACACACACAGGCACAAACGCACACAGACACACACAAATACAAATGTGTCTATCACACAATTACAGTTTTTTCTGATTGCTTAAGCACATTTTTTGTAACTATTTGCTAATTTTGCAAAACTCTTCACACAAATAAGAAAACCTGTCACCCAATAATCAAAACATTGTAGTTCTCTTGCAAAAGCAAACACAGCTGGATTAACTCCTCACACCTTCGTAAAAATGGTGTTTCCGTATCAAACAGTACACACAAGCCATCATCTACTAAGCACACAATGCGCCAACTGCACACTGATGGTATGAATACAAAACACATCTGGCTTTTGCTTTCTCTGTGCACAAGGTAGGCTATGTCAGTTTGAGCTCATACTTCTGTCATAGATCCATAAGCATAGAGGGATCCAAACTTCAAGTACTGGTGTTTATTCAAACACATCAAAACAAACACAAGTGTTTATTTCCAAGTATAGGATTATTTGCAATCGCCATAATGACTATATGGGTTACTTGGTCTGCAGTGAACATGCTTCCTCTGCCCCAGCATCTGGTCATCTAGCAACTCTGTAAAGTAACAATTTCAGTATTTTTACATCAATGGTATTGGTGTGTTTCTCATTGGCATATGGCAGTGCTACAAATCTTTGTGCGAAGTGACTGTACTCACTGATTCTCATTTCAAGATGTCCTTATGGTGCTTGCTACAGTGTAGCGGCTCGAGTTAGGCTGGACCCGTTGGCCAGCTACCCTCAGGGTCATTCCACGGTTGATGACATGGTCCACTATTGTAGCTCTGATGTCATCAGCAATTCTATTTCTTACTCTTCTTACCCTTCCTCTCCCCCCTCATCTTCCTCTCCCCCCTCCTCGTCTTCCTCTTGCTCCTCCTTGTCCTTGTCGTCCTCTTCATCCTACTTCTTCACCTCCACGTCCTCTTCCTCGGCCTCCTCTACTTCTCACTCTTTCTGCTCCCTCCATTGTACTCCGCACACAGAGCTTACCTGTATTACAGTTTTTTTTCAATCGCTAACAAGCGCCTACCCATACTTCAGATACTTTTTCTAAACTCTTAACACAGACTCACACCTACAAAACACAATTGGCCAAATGGATAATTTCCTTCTCAAAAATACATTTTGTTAAATATATACTAACTCTTCATTTCAAAATAGAACACATCTTTCTCTGCACACACTAACTGTACAAAAACACTATGAATCTGACTCAAAATGAAATTAGTCTGTCAAAGAATAACACTTGTTTTCACTTCACAAGGTACATGCAGTCAATCAAAGTACACCAGGTTTCAAAATACTGGCTATTATTGACATTACAAAAACTGCATAGACTTTTATGTTTCAGTTTTACAGGTATTTGCATGCGAAACATGCAATCCACCATATTGACACCAGAAATGTCTTGGTTGGTAACTGTATGTCCACATGTACAGTAATGTTCGCATTCAAAAGCATTCCAGTAAAAAGCAAACAAGTTTCTGTTTCTTTACTGTTTACTACAGGAGGTACAGTAGAAACACAGTATGATAGGACAGAGAAAGTTTTACAGTATTGCTTACAGTGAACAAAATATCCATGAAACACACAAGAGCATTCTGAACAAAAAAACAACAGCAAAAAGCCAAGATAAAAAGGGGGGAGGGGGAGGGGGGCTGAAAAAAGGCAAAAAATTTGCATCTAATCTCTGCGATCTTCAGGGTTAGGCCACATGTTTTCATCAACATCACATCTGATGTTATCCAAGTCGATGCACCTGGGATAGAACCGCCTGGTATGTCGGATCCACCCTTGGCAATCGTCAACTGTGATGTCCCTGGAGCCAGCATCCATGGCTTCGAGGAGGGACATCTGGTCATGTGGCTGATGGTCATAAACCTTCCACCGCCATGCAGAAAAAAACTCCTCTATGGGGTTGAGGAAAGGTGAATATAGGGTGGAAGGAAGAGACTTACCAGTCTTGGGTGGACTTCAAACCATGTTGTTATTGCTTGCGAGTGATGGAAAGCCACATTGTCCCAGGTAATTACAAAGGTCCTCATGTTTTCACCCTCCTGACCCTGCTCTGGAACCAGGCACTGGTGGAGATCATTGAGAAAGGCAAGCAAGCGCTCTGTATTATAGGGTCCAACCTGACATCTGTGAAGGAGTAATCCTGCATTTGCAATTGCTGCACACATGGTAATGTTTGCCCCTCTCTGTCCTGGCACATCAACTGTGGCCCTTTTTCCAATTACATTTCGTCCACGTCGACGCCTTTTGGCCAGATTGAATCCTGCCTCATCGATGTATATGAATTCATGAGGGGCATGGTTGGCCTCCAATTCCATAACTCTCTGAAACAAAGTTTATGTAAGTCATGTTAGTACTGTATACCATACTGTACTGTAACCTAGTATTGTGTAGGTTACCTACTTGCAAAGTGCAAAGCTTATAGAACTGGACATTGGATTGAATATACACTATACCTGGACATATTGTCGTCGTAGCTCCTTGACCCTCTCACTGTTCCTCTCAAAGGGAACAGCGTAGAGCTGCTTCATCCGCACTCTGTGTTTGGACAATGTCCGCGTAATGGTTGTGAGGCTGATTCTATCGATATTGTCAAATATCTCATGGTCCGCCACAATTCTAGTTTGAATTTCACGCAGTTTTATTGCATTATTTGCAGTAACCATTTCTACAATGGCAAGCTCCTGATCATTACTGAGGAGCTTTCCTCTTCCCCCAGAGGGTGGAAGACGTTGCATTCTTTAGAAAGACAAAAAATTCAACATATGCATTACTGTATGACCATATTGACATGTCAAGTGAGAATAGAAACAATCCATGTAAAATGCAATACTTACCTGTTGGTTTGTTGAAAGATGCGTATAATGGAGGCAACCGTTGACCGCCTCAAATTGGGCTGCACTCTTTCACCAGCCTCTCTTAGTGAAAGACCATGGTTGATTACATGGTCAATGATAGTGGCACGAATTTCATCACTGACTACTGTTCTTGTAGCCCTTGGAATGCCACCACCACGCATTCTTACACCTCTACCTTGCCCTCTCCTTGGGCCTGCTCTTCTCTCTGGGCCCCTTGCTCTTACTCCTCCTCGACCAGACATTACAGTGTTTGTCTTTTTTTTGTTTCCAAAAACATCACTCCTCAAGGTCTTGCCTTATAAACCCCACTGAGTCTAAGCCAGAATGGAAGAAGCTGTGGTTGGCCCAATTTACCCAACATAAATCAGCTGTGTGTCAATTATTCAATTGTTTGTTTGTTTACAGCTGAGATATATTTTTGATATTGATATTGTTTTTGTACTGATATCATTGCAGAGGCAGAGGTTTTTATACTGTATCTAAGTTTTGGAATATTGTTTTTGCTATTGTGGGATGTTGTGTGTTAACATTCGTAGATACTACAAAAACAGTCCATAATTTTGTTGGGAGGTATAGCTTGTCTGTTAAGAAAATGTAAGCATTGTGGAAATGTGTTCACTGACTGCATATTGGGTGAACATGACATGAAATGTGTGAATGGTATGGCCACAACAGACCGATGCTGTGCTAATTGTGTTTAGCGTTTTGCAAATGTGACAACTGTTTGGACAAACGCTTGTTAGCGACTGAAAAAAACTGTATAGTGCTTAGGCTGATTGCAAAGTGAACTAATTATCTAAAAAAGTTTTCACATGTGAAAGTGTGCCAGACAGTTGGCAAATTAGTGTTAATGATAGCCATACATGTGTATACTTTTGCTAGGAGTGTGTTGGAAATTTGGTAATTGAGTGTTGTGCAGTGAATTGTGCCTACAGTTTTGCAAAGTGTGTGTTACAAAATTGCAAACTGAGTGCAAAGCAGTTTTTGTGCTTTTAGTTTTGCAAACTCAGTGAGTGGTTTTGCTATAAGTCTGAATAGTTTTAGAGATTGTGCTACAGGAATCACAGTTAGGGTTTAAGCATTCAGAAAAAACTGTAAAAGGGTGTTTTTCCTTCAAGTTGTTGCCAAGTGGTCAAGTGGTCATCTGATTGTTGGGATTTTCCGTTTTCTCTGCAATATTGTAGGAATTGCAGTATTATTGTGATTTGATGCTATATAAATACAACTGAATTGTATTGAATTACAGTTTTTCTTAGTCGCTTTGGTGCGTTCCTCAGAACACCATTAACATTTGCACAGCAGTTAGTGCATTTCCCAAAACAATTAGTGCAAACTGCAAAACCTAGTGGATAGCCTGCAAAAGCAC